CCTTTTCTGTGCCTTGGTTGCTAACAGTCTCACCTTGAGTAAGCTGTGACCTTTCCTGACCTGCTCAGCCCCTTCAAGGAGCTTCATCTGAAATGCTACATCTTGTTATCTCAGACTAATGGCTAATTGTGTGGCTCCTGGTAGTTGACTTTCCATGGCTGTCTAGGTGTTTTTCTGAAAAGGCATAGTGGAGATGGAGAGTGTTTTATAGATTCAGGAAGGGACAGTCAAAATCCTTTCACCTGACAAAGCCCCTGATCAGGTGCTGGGATTAGTGGGACTACTGATGTCAGTAGTATCCACTGTAAATTGGAGCAACTGATCATAGCACCCTGGTGTGCTGTAATGTTGTACATCTTTAAACAAATCTTTGTCTATGATTGTATTTCTAAATAACTAGGTGGCATAGTGGATAAGAACACTGACCCTGGAGTCAAGAAGACCTGAGTTCAAATATGACCTCAGACACTTATTAGCTCTGTGACGGTGGGCAGTTATTTAACTTATCTGCCTCAGTTTCCTCATCTGTAAAATGGAGACAATAATAGCATCTACTTCCAAGGATTGTTGTAAGGCTCAAATGAGATAATTGTAAAGTACTTACACAGTGTCTGCCACATAGCAGGTGCTATATAAATATTAATTGTATTATCCTAAGCTGTTTGGAGAAACCTTCATGTCTCTTTTTAAACTTTGGGAGTGGAGTGAATATTTTGCATCTGAAGTTCACAGCCAATTGAAAATCCACTATATAATTTTCCAGGCAAGTATGTTCTTCCTCATCTGAAATTGTTCTGGTCAGGAGCCAATACCAGTGAAAACCTAACTAAAAACAAAACAAAATCCCAAACTCAATATACCCTAACATGAATCTTAATCCGAATATGAATTAACATTTATGTAAATTTAGTTCTAAACTGTCCTAACTACTGACCTCAAACCTGACCTTGTTGCTTTCCCAATTCTCCCCCAGCCCTCTTCCTAACACTGATCGATTTTTAAAAAAGCACAAAATTGATGTCATTTCTCATAGCAGCATAATAATCATTTTGAATGTAAAATATGATAACCGTGTTAAGACACCACTCAAACACCATCTGTTAGAAGTTTTTTCAACAGTTGTTCAGTAAAAACAAATGAATCATGGAATTTTCCATAAATTATAGTACTCTGGAACTGACTCAAATTAATTGACATTAAAAAAGCAAGGAAAATTTAAAAAAGAACAGTGATTCCCTTTGACATGAATCTGAACACTTAGGGTATGCAAATTAGCATCATTCATTATTCCACATCTCAAAATTCAGACAGTATTTGTTTTCAATGACATTAATGTTCTCTCCTTAACTACTTCTGCATCACTTTTTTCTCTTTTGCTTAACTCTACCCCCTCCCCATTTTTTAGAAATACAAAAACAGCTATGTATATAGCTCATGGACTGTTGAGCTGAAAAAAAAAAACCCAAAAGGCCATCAAGTCTAACCCTTTTATTTTACAGATGAGGAAATAGAGTCAAAGAATTTAATTGACTTGCCCAGGATCACTCAGCTAATTCGTGTCTGAGGCAGTATTTGAACTCAGATCTTTCTGACTCCAAGTATAATGCCTTCTCCATTACCACATAGAGTAATATTTCATTTATTTGGCATTCTTGGGGAATGATTCATTTCATATAAGTAAATTTTCCAGATAAATGACTTTGTTGTTGTGGTTGGTGGTGGTGGTAGTGGTATCATTAAAATAAGGTAAGGATATTGTTGTATTGGTATAAATGCCTACAAAGACAGTCAGGCTGTGTCCATAGGTAGGAAGGAAACAAACATTTGTTAAGCTTTTACTGTGCCAGGCCCTTTTCTAAGCACTGGAAATACAGATAAAGACAAAAACACAGACCTATCCTCAAGGAGGATTTCACTAATAAGTGAAATCACTACACTATAGATAGATAGATAGATAGAGTGAGTAAGAGGTAATCTCAGAGGTAAGGCACTATCAGTGACAGGTGGTGTGTGTGTGTGTGTGTGTGTGTGTGTGTGTGTGTGTGTGTGTGTGTGTGTGTGTAGGGGGGATCAGGAAATACTTTAGCAGAAGGTGGAACTTGGAACTGAGTCTTCAAGGCATCCTTAGAAGCCCGTAGGATTCCAGCTTCCACTCAGAAGAAGAGAGAGGATTCCAACAAAAGGTGCCAAGTTAAAAGATGGAAAATCATGTGGAGCAGGGATGTAATGGTGACAACTAGCTTTCTAGAATTAAAAACATGTACATAGTATACACTTTTAAGTTTAGTTTGCATTATTAACATTTTATCCATCACTTTCTTAAGACAATCAATAGTAATTTTGGCCCTGATATGTGCCACTTGCCAATTTCTGAGAGGTAAATGTTTACACTCAATATTTAACAATGGACAGGTATAAGCTGACTTCAGCATACCAACATGGGCAGACACAGCAAGAAAGCAAAGAGTATAGAGTGTATGGATGGGAAGAAAGTTAAGAAACCTGGGTAGGGAAAAAGATGATGTCTCGAAGGGAGAAATGACAAGATTTGGCCATAGATTGGACATGTGGGGTGAGTGTGAATGAGGAGTTGAGGATGACTCCGAGGTTATCCACTAGGCAAAATGTAAAGTTGGTCCATGCTCTCAAAAGTAATAGGGAAGTTTAGAAGAGATTTACAGCCTACGGAGACTATTGAAGCTAACTAAAGGGATCTGGGGTCTATGAACACACTAAATAGGCTTCTAAACATGTTACAAATGAGTCTTAATCTCAAGCCCATCTCATCATCTATTTGTGATGCTTTCCTAAGACACTCATATGGATCAATAATTGTTTAGATGCATGATGCAAATAGAACCTATGGAAATTAAAATTATTATTAATTTCTGTGGTTCTGTACAGACAGTGCATTTTGGAGTTTGGTTTGATTCTCTAACCTGTAGGAAAGGAAAAGGATTAGTGAGACAGGCAAGTAATATTTATATATCGTCACAACTATTGAGTGTGTAACACTATTGTTGAGTAAATGGGCAGATATTTGTCACTTTCCCCAGAGATATCATATTTTATATATCTAGTTCCTTCCAGCTGATTCTTTCCAAGAGCTTCATAAGGACTTCCCAAGCTCTGCACCTCTTAGTTGAGAATCTGCATATAACAGAGAAACATGGGAAATAAAGGTGAAAGGGGACTATAGAGATCTTTCAGTCCAATTCCTTCATTTTATACATAAGGAAACTGAGGCATACAGGTGTGAAGTGACATACTAAAGCATATATAGTTAGTGACAAACTAAGGCTACAATCCAAGTATGCCAACTCTCCAACCCACTATTTAGTATAAGAAGCTGTCTCCCAGAAATTGCTGAGTGACTGGTTAAAGGTCTTGAAGTATCTAACCATAAGTAGAGTAGGGTGGTTGAGGCTTTGTCCTATGGAACTGAAATTTAGTAAGTACAAAAATTCAAAATAATTATATTAAAAGATAGTGCAATTTCAAAAATGTTTTATTTACATATTTATATATTTCATTCCTTTAACAGGGCAGAAATGATTGACTTTAGCATTCCATCAGTTGAAACAACAGTTGAAATAGTAGGCTATGGGAAGCTGTATATTGTTAACAACACCCTTCTGTGAAAGACTCTAGTATTTACTTCCCTTCCCTGCTCAACTAAGATGGACTAATTATTTGTATTATTTTCACTTCATGAATTACAAAATGGACTTGATAGTACTTTTTATGCTGCTTGATCTTGGTGTATTGTTTACCAAAATTGCTAGGTAGGCTAGGGCTCACAAAAGAGGTTAAAGCAACATTTTTTTTTCCAGTATCATCTAATCAATGAAGAATAGGGCCATGCATTTGATCTAGAATTCCAGACTTTAAATGTAATATATATTTTTAAAATTCACTAGTATAGTGACCAGTGTCAAGCAATCACAACTTCACAAAACTTATGTGAAAAGCTAGGTTTATTACAAGAGAAATAAATATGCATGTGAAACCCTCAGCTAGTGCAAAGAGTTCACAATCCAAACAGAAGTTTACATATTTATGAAATTGAGACAAAGAGAAGTAGAAACAGAAATCTTCACCTAAATAAGAGTGGCTAAGGAGGAGAAATCACGAATGATTAAGATAGCAAAAGCAGCATTCTTTCCCCTTGGGAAATACTAGGCTTTGAAGATGGAATGGTCTGTTTATCTACAAGGATCCCCGATATATAATCAGTTTCCCAGTGTGGTGCAGACTGACTGGGAGCTCTCTTGACTCCCAAAGACCGAGAGTCAAGCTTGGGGTGCAAACAACAAATCATGTCAGCTCAGTGAAGTGGGAGGCAGGTGGGGGGCTTCATCCTAGATGCATTCAGGGCCTCCTGCATATTCCAGGTCCAGTGTTTCCAGAAAATACAGCAACTCAAAAAGACAAGTTGAGGGGACCCCTTAACATTCCTTAACATCCTCCCCTGTTGGTCAAGGTGATCCATGGGTGTGTCTATGACCACAGTACATCCATTTTAATTGAAGACAAAATCTGAAGAAAAGGGCGTGAAAACTGCAGCATGAAGGTTTTTAATTGTTTTGGTCTATACTTTCGATTGGGGAGCTCAAAATGTGGCAATTCTCTCTAACAATGCAGATGGGTAACCAATGTTTTAGTCATTGACCCTGGAGAGCTGCCAGTGCTGAGAGATTAAGTGAATTTCCCATGATCACATAGCTTAGCATGTGTCAGAGTCAGGACTTGAATCTGGGTCTTTCCTGACTCCAACGCTATTCTTCTTCTATTCTGTGTGGCTTAGACAAGATCAAAAGTTTCCTGATGATAAGCGTTAAACAATGGAATGAGCAAGAATAGGAGGGGATAGAACCTTTTTTCCTTTAGAGACCACTGAGAAGCTCTCTAGGCATTGTTTACGGGATAGTTCTGCTGGGAGAATGAATCTGATGACTTCTATGCCCTGTGATTCTATCATTCATTTTCCTCTCTTTCAGGGAATTCTCTTTGTTTCAGACCTTTGGTTCACAGAGGAACCAGTTTTACCACTTCACCAGGGAAATTGCTCGTGCTCAAGTGTCCAGTGAAGCAATGTGGTGAGAATCTGAATGTGTCTTGGATCAAGGAAAATGGAACACAAAGCTCCCAAATTCGAGATGGACTTTGGGAGTCTAGACCATGGGATAAAGAGAAGAACTTAACCATGTTCAGTCTGCATTTTGACCCTGTGCTTGATGGTGATGGTGGCTCCTATCAGTGTATTGTTAACTTTTCAAAAAAGTCTCTGTTTTCCAGCCATCACATAAATGTCTACATAACAAGTGAGTATCAGCCGCAAAGCCCAGACATCTATGTAACAAGTGAGTATCAGCTTCAAAGCCCATTTGTCTGATGGACATTCTCATCTTATTTTATTCATGAAAGAATGCTTAATTTTCTATCCTCTTTTAGGGAGTTGGAGGGTTCCCCTCCTATTAATTTTATTGGTAAAGTGAAATCCTCTATGAATAAACATGTTTCATCGATGCAGGTCGTCAACTACTCTGCAACTCAAAGCCTTGGAGAGATTTTTGAAACTTCTTTGTCAGAACAGTTGCAAGAAGATGAGGACGTCAAGTCAACTAAAAAATGATCACTCCTGAGAGTAATGTGGCTGTTGATTCTAGCTAGTCTTTCCTTTTTTAAAAAAAATTCATTCATTTATTTGTTCAATTAATATTTGTGTGCTCCTTTTATATTCAAAGCAATTTGCCAGGAATTATAGTGAGTACTTGGGTAGCTAGTTGGCACAGTGGATAGAACACTGGGCTTGGAATCAGGAAGCAGGAACTCTTCTTCATGAGTTCAAATGTGGCCTCAGACACTTACTAGCTGTGTGACCTTGGGCAAGTCATTTAACCTGATTGCCTCAGTTTCCCCATCTGTAAAATGAGCTGGAGAAGCCAATAGCAAACCACTCCAATAACTTTGCCAAGAAAACCCCAAATGGGGTCACAAAGAGTTGGATGTGACTAATTGACCAAAGAGCACCAAGAAATCTAGACCTTCAGTTCCAATTTTTTCCCCCTTACTCCAGGACTACATTCTGTTCTAGTTGATAACTGGACAATTTTTATTTGTATGTACTATTGACATCTCAACTTCATCAGATCTAAAATTGAGCCTCCCTTATCACTGCTACTTCTTTCCAACTTTTAAATTCATGTTCATGGTAAATTGAGGCTTGGGAAAGACCTAATTTAGAAAGGCCAAGGTCACCCACTACATCTTGGGCCATCGCCAGTCATCTTGACTTTTGTCATGCCACTGGACTCTGATGATTCTGAAGGAGAGAGTGAGGCTGATGACTGCACAGCTCTACCTTACTTGAATCCAATTCTTGCAAAAGTCAAGACATCCCCTCGTGATGTCATTGGTCTTCTTTGAGAATGAAGGGAGAAGGGGCAGCTGGGTGGCGCAGGGGATAGAGCACCGGCCCTGAAGTCAAGACAACTTGAGTTCAGATCCGGCCTCAGACCAAACACTTGACACTTATTAGCTGTGTGACCCTGGGCAAGTCACTTAACCCCAATTGCCTAAAGATTAAAAAAAAAAGAAGAAGATAATGAAGGGAGAAAAAGAACAACAATTTCAACTATTGACCAAAAGAGTCTGGGTGGCACAATGAAAAGAGGGCTAAATTTGTTGTCAGCGTTCAAATACTGGCTCTACCATATATTACTATATGTGTAACCTTGGGCAAATTATTTAAATTCTCTGAGCCTCAATTTCCTTATCTGTAAAATGAAGAGGCCGGACTTGTTTTCTTTTGAGGTGCTTTCTAACTCTAAATTTTTGACTCTTCTCTTTCCCTTGCCTCCTCTATTCATTCTCCTTCAAGGCCTAGAAATCTCAGGGGCCCTTAGATTTATATATGTTGCCTCCACCCAGACTGGAGAAAGGAATAGTTATACCTACTAAATAGCCACTTCTTGGGAGGACCTTCTCTGAGCTAGTGAGACATCCAGAAAAGTGCTTTTCTTCTTCTGCCATTGTCTTTGAGTTGTTCTCAATTGTGTCTGACTCGTCATGACCCCCATTGGGGGTTTTCTTGGCAAAGATACTGGAGTGGTTTGCCGTTTCCCTCTCTAGCTTATTTTACAGAGGAGGAAACTGAGGCAAACAGGGTTAAGTGACTTGCCCAGGGTCACACAGCTGGTATGTGTCTGAGGCCATATAGGAACTCAGCTAGATCTCTAAAAAAGAGCGGGTAAGTGTCCGCCTCTCTTCTGCTGTGCTTTGGGTCAATTGACCAAGATATGAAATGAAGGAAGGGAACAACTGTTAATTTAGTTAATTAATTAACTATGTGTTGGGCACTGAGCTAAGAGCTTTACAAATACCATTTTATTTGATTCTCACAACAATCCTGGGAGGTAGGTGCTATGATTATCTATATTTTATAGTTGAGACAGACTGATTTGCCCAAGGTCACACAGCTAGTAAATAACTGAGATAAAATTTTAAGTCAGGTCTTCCTGATTACATGCCCAGCGCTCTATCCACTGTGCTAGCTAGCTGCCTCCATGTGAGTAGCCTCAAGTCCACAAGGACTGTATTGTTTGTGTGGGTAAATTGAAGAGGAAGTAAAAAGGGAGGGAGAGAAACAGGAATGAATTTTCTTTTCTTTTTTTGCTTCAGTAAGTAAATATCATCCAGAAATGTCTCTGGAGGCCTTTGCTAATTGTGACTCCTGTTAGCTCCCACACTTAGAGGAAATAAGATGTTATTCCATGTAACAGACTAATTCCATATGTAGTTCCACAGATACATGGGCTTAAACACATAGATTAATGTTTCATACACAAAGCCTTACAACCTAAGAACTGGCTTTAAGCACATATTCTTGGAGTTATTGCTAATTGTGTTACATAAATTGAGCTTGAGGGAAGTCACTTAATTGTCTGGGGCAAGTCCATCTACTTCACCCTCGGTTCACATTTCCCTATTAAGATCTCTTGCCAGTGGACGCTGGTCTAATAATGGGCCTGAGTGTCCATCAGCATTACTAAAGCTGGTTTATTTTTTACATTTTTCTTTTTCTCTATAATAAAAAAAAAATTTAAATAGGCATTGATGCACCATTTTAAAGCTTACAGTGTACATATATCACCTCATATGAGCCTTGTATCAACTCTGTGAGGTAGATTCGAGAGGCATTATTACCCCCATTTAATAAGTGGAGAAACTGAGACTCATTTTCGGTTTTCTCATCTGTAAAAGGAAGAGGTTAGACTCCATGGCTTCCTTCTACGGTCCCTTTCTGCTCTAAATCTACGATCCTATTACTCAGTCACATGCTAGTAATTGTCAGAGGCAGAATTTTGGCCGAGATCTTCCTTACTCCAAGTATGCACTCTCTCTGCTTTATCATGCAGTAGTGCTGATAAAGTGGACCTGCTAAGAAGTAAATTTTGATTAGTCCAACTAAAATAAGGGAAACCTGGTTTCTTTAGTATTCAGCAGATGCAGGATATAGGAAAAGTAAGATCTCATTTATATTTATGATATATAATATATACAAAATACATATGATATAAAATAATAGCATATATAAAATAGAATAATTCTTTTTTAATCTTCTCTCCCCTTCCCTTCTATTATTCTTGGTACAGTGGAATCTCATCATCCTGGGAGGCAACATAGAACATATAGCTCATTGCAATTGGAGTCAGCAATTCTTGGGTTCAAATCCCAGCCCTGACACTGTGTAGCCCTCAGCAAGACTTAACATCTCTGGGCCTCAGTTTCCTCATCAGCAAAATAAGTAGAACAATCCTTGTAGAGCCTCCCTCACAGTTCTATGAGAATTAAATTAGTTTCAAAGGTTTATAAGTTTAAGATTTACAAAACTTAAAGCTTTATATCAATGTTGGCTTTTATGATTATTTTTGCTGAATGGCTTGGTCGCCATTATATGTGATTTTCAGAGAAGGTTTCATGGAGGTTGGGAGGAATATGCCTTGTCTTTGGCTCGTTCTAGAAAAGGCTTCCCTCTGGGGTTTATGATAATAATTTCCATCCCATTTGGGGAAATAAATTAAACAAAGTGGATTTTCTAGCTATCACAGCTTTCTTAATGCTCTTAAGTATTGATTGAATTTTCAGATTCAACTGAAGCTCCGTTGGAACAGAGACCTGAGAATGAAACTAGACCATGGCTCCTTTACATGCTGCTTTCAATGGGGCTGCTGAGTATATTTATCCTTACTTGTCTCGGTCTGTTCTTCTGGCAGAGGAAGAAGCGAGGTGAGTTCTATTTTATAATGATATTATTCTGCAGACATATTCAGACAAGTTTTCCTCATGGTGATAGGTTGTTTTTTTTAAAGTTTCTGATATTTCTACCCCTCTTTTTATTTCTTACTAAATGATGATAAGTTGACAGAACTGGGGTAATTATTCTGGGGGAAGACAACAAAGGTGGGCTGTAGTGGGGGAATGATTATTCCCTTCAGGTATTTGGAAGGCTATTATTGGGAAAGAGTTGGGGTAGTTTTACTTAACACGCAAAGAACCAAACCAGGAGCATTTGCAAAGGGGCAAATTTTGACTTGACAAAAGGGAAAAAAAACTTCTTAACAATCAGAGTTATCCCAAAGTATAATGGATTGCCTTGGAAGCTGGTGGGTTCTCCTGACTTCCCTTTCCCCCTGCCTCTGGGATGTCCCCTTCATATACTTTGTGAATTAAACCTTCCCTCAGTGCTTTTACTCCTATGTCACAACCAGCAACAATCTCCTCTGTGAACATTTGGTCTAATCCGGCTTCTTCCATCTTTATTTTTCTTATTGCCATTTCCATTTCTTCTATAAGGACTTTCTTGGACTGTGATATTAGTCCAAGTTTTGTGGCTCTGCTGTCCTTTGATGGTGAAAACATTTCATCTGTGTGTGTGTGTGTAAAATTTTGTAGATAGTTTCCATTTTCCTTCCGTTTGTTCCTTCTTCCATGTTCATCTTTAAATTCTCTCAGGATGTTTTTGCTTAGCTTTGTTTCTCTCCAAGTTTTCTTTATAGTGATATTTAGCCTTTACTGTAGCTAAGAGGCTCGGTGGATAGAGCACTGGACCTGGAGTCAGGAAAACCCGAGTTCAGATCTGGATTCTGACACTCACTAGCTATGACCCTGGGCAAGTCGCTTACCTGCTGTTTGTCTTAATACACTGGAGAAGGAAATGGCAAACCACTCCAGTATCTTTGCTAAGAAAACCTCATGGACAGTACTATAGTGCTATGGTCTACAGAGCCATGAAGAGTAGGACATGGCTGGAATCATTGAAGAACAGCAGCAGCTGTAGCAACAACAACAGAGTCAAGAATGAACCAGATGAACCCTTCACTGCTGCTCTCTGCTTTATGAAGTGACATTGGTCATAATCTTACATTGGCCTCCTTCATAAGACTTTAAAAATTAATTTCTATACTAAATCATTATTACCTTTGGCCTCCATCTCTTTCCATTTGGCAAATAGGTCAAGTATTTGCTGACTAAGGTGTTTTTAGATTCTTTTTTTCTTCTTGTTATGACATTGATTTATATCAGTTAAGCTTTTTTATATAATCGCTATAAACCTTTGATATACTTTTTGCTATGCATTCCTTTTTAATAATTATCTAATTAATTTAACAATTAGCTTAATTTAATAATCACACAATTAATCATCATTATATGTTTTAATAAGTCAGGATTGAGTTGTTTTAACTGTTAACATTGATTAAATTGCCAGGCTACTCCCCTTCTTTCTCTAAAATTTTGGACAAATGGAGATTTTCTGTGATTTTTTTTTCCAGTTTCCTTCTCCATGTAATTGATCTCCACAGAGAAATAAGAGTTTCTTTGAAAAGAGGGGGTTTGGTTGTGGTGGGAAAAGCATGATCTTTTGAAACCGACCCCTTTCTGGTTTTTAAGAACCACATGCCTTAAAGCTACCATAGGGAGGATAGTTATAGAGAAGTTCCTTTTCCTTTTTAATCTCTTGCACTTCCCTTTCTAATGCTCTTTCTCATACCCCTACTTCCCCATTACCTATGGTGCTGTTCCATCTCTAAATTCCAGCATTTTATGATTCTAATAACTCTAAAACAGACAAGACCTTGTCAGTCTCTCATATGAGATAAAGGCAAGGCAAATATTTCCCTACTGCTTTGAGGTGGAAGTTTCAAAAATCATTACAATCTTCTCAAAGCCACTCATTTTTGCCAACCACAGGGAGCCTGCCATAGCTTGACTCTTTTGTTTTTCAGTTTCCAGTTGTGTCTGACTCTTCATGGCCCCACTTGGGGTTTTCTTGGCGAAGATACTGGAGTGGTTCGCCATTTCCTTCTCCAGCTCATTTTACAGATGACAGAACAGAGGCAAAGTGACTTGCCCACAGTCATTCAGCAAATAAGTGTCTGAGGCCAGATTTGAGCCCAGGAAAATGAATCTTCCTGACTTCAGGCCCAGCACTTTATCTACTGGGTCACCTAGCTGCCCTCAGCTTGACTAGACTCCTTCATCTAGTTTGAGATCTCTCAAGAGTTTCTCTGAAAGCTACAAGAAAAATAGGTGATCAAAAGAATCCCTTTATGTACCTACATCCAGAATCTCTCTTGGAAAGAAGATGTCTAAGCAATGACTTAGTAATAAAGCTACACAACCACAGAATTTGGGAGTTGGAAGAGGTGTCATACCTGAAAATGCTTTCCACCGAAATATACCTGATAAGGGCCCATGCAGCATCTGCTTGAAGATTTCTGGTTAGGAAGAACTAAGTACATTCCAAGGCAGCCAATTTCACTTTTGGGCAGCTCTAATTGTAAAAAAGTTTTTCTTGGCATCAGTCCTCAGTTTACCTCTTTATAACTTCCTTCCACTGCTCCTGGTTTCTTCTAATTGCTCTGCCTGCCTAAAGTTTCTCCCTACATCAATTCATTCTCTTCGTGGTTGCCAAAATGAATTTCCTTATGCACAGATCTGATTGCGTCACTCTCATGCTTACTGGTTCCCTATTACCTCTAGAATAAAACAAAACACCTTTATTTGGCTTTTAAAACCCTTCACAGCCTGGACTCTACATATTTTTCTGGTCTTATTTTATTTTATTCCCCTTCTGGCACCCAATGATCCAACCAGACTTGGCTTCTTTCTGTTCCTTATATATCAAACTTCATCTTCTATCTCTAGGCATTTGCACTGCCCATACCCCATGCGTGGAATATATTCCCCCCCTCACCTTCATGTCACAGAATTCCAAATCCCTTCAAGATATAGCTCAAGCACCACCTTCTACATGAGATCTTTTCCAATCTCTCCAACTGCTAGGGCCCTCCCTCACTAATTACTTTCTACTTAACTATCTTACTTTTACTTTGTATTTATTGTACATATATTTATTCTGTATTTACTTATATTATATACATGTTGTTTCTCAGGTAGAATTTCAGCTACTTGACAGCATGAATTGCTTTATTTTTGGCTTTGTATCTTAGCACCTACAATGGTGCCTTGTATATACTGAGTGTATAATAAATGATTGATTGAGTCATTGATTGGTTTGGCCCATCTTGAGCCAAATGGAACCTCTCATCTTTCTTCCTCAGAATAGCCCTGCCAATATTTGAACGTAGTTATCGTATTTCTTCTCCTCCCTTCCCTGTCCCCCAAGTCTTTTCTTCTCTAGGCTGAATATCTCCAATTGATTAAAGTACTCCTTATATGACAAGACCTCAGGGACCGTCACCACAATGGGTGCTCCCCAATTCATCACTGTCTACACTGAACTGTGATACCCATATGTGAACAAAATGTTCCTGGAGTGGTATTACTTGTGACTTTTGGCACCAAAATATAGAAACTCCCCAGAGAAAAGTTATCAGCTTTTAAAAAGTGATTGTTTGGTGTTCTAATCTTTTTCTGTATTTTGCATGCTGGGTAAGAAGGGAAGACACAATCGATGAGTGACACATATTAACCATTGACTCTCCAAGTTGATTGGCATTGGCACTTTCCACAAATTACTGGCAGCTGGCCATAGGGGCAGCAACCTTTCCTATTAATTGGGGTGGTATTCCACCATAGGTGACCTCTCCTAGAGCTTTTCTGAGTTTAATTGACTGTTTCTTTCTTTTAAAAATTTTTCCAGCAAAACAAAAGAAGCATCCTGATACCTTAGGAAGGGGAACTAACCAGGTATGTTTTATCCCTTTTTTGAAACAGTAAATTGCATGTGATGAGATCAAATGTAAAGTCCTCTATTTTGGCACTTAAAACTCTTTATAACCTTGACCCTTTCTACATTTCTGTTATTCTTATATCTTATTTCCTTCTGTGTACTCTATAATTCAACTACACTTGCCTGCCTGCAGTTCCTTGAATATGACACTTCCTCTTTCATACCTATGTTTTCATACTGGCGGTGCCCCAAGCCTGGGGTGCTTTGCCCCATCACCTCTGCAACAGCAGTCCTAGTGTAAATACATTCTCATTGATGTCTCCTATTTCTTACATCACCAGAATTTCTCCCTGTATCCATCTCCCTGCCCTTCTTAGAGAAACATCCCATATAACGAATAATATTTTTTTAAAGAAAAAAAGGAAAAAGAACAAAAAAAATCAGCAAAACCTATTAATACATCAAAAAAAAAAATCTGAAAACGTATACAATGGGCCACACCTGTGGACTTCCTACTTCTTCAAAGGAGTGGAGTAGGGTTATCTTCTCACATCCCTTCTTTGGGGCCATATGTTTATTTGTAATTTTGCAACATTCATTTTTTTATCTTTGTATGTGTGGTTGTTCTTTCCATTTACATTGTTGTACTCATTGTGTATATTGTTTTCTTGGCTTTACTTAACTTCACTCTGCCTCAGTTCATGTAGATCTTTTCAAGTTTCTCTGTATTCATCATATTTGTTATTTCTTATAGCACAGTAATATTCCATTTCGCACATATACCAAAATTTATTTAGCCATTCCCTAATCAATGGCCATCTATCCATCAATCTATCAATCAATAAATATTTATTAAGTATCTACTATGTGTCAGGCACTATGCTAAGTACTGGGGATATAAAAAGAGGCACAAACGGTTCCTACCCTCAAAGATCTTACAATCAAAGACAACATGCAAACAAATATTTACAAAGCAAGCTATACATAGGATAAATAGAAAATAATTAAAAGAGGGAGAGCACTGGAATTAAGAATTGTTGGGGAAGGTTTCCTATAGAAGGTGGGATTTTAGTTGGTACTTAAAGGAAACCAGGGATGTCAGCAGACAGAATGGCAAATTGAGAGCATTTCATGCACTGCAGACAGGCCAAGAAAATGCCTGGAGCTAAGGGATGAAGTGTCCTGTTTGTGGAACAGCCAGAAGGCCCATGTCACTGGATTGATGATATAGTAGATATATTTTTGTAATATAATGAGATCATACATTTAGAACTGGAAAGGTTAGGAAACTGAGGCAGAGAGAGGTTAAATGACTTAACCAGGATCACACAGATAATTAATGTATAAAGGAGGATGTGAACTCAGCTCTTCACGATGCCAATCCAACATTCTATCTAATATTCCATCTAAGTGCCTAGTTATGTAACTGACCAGAAAACATTGAGTATCCATTATTTGCCAGACTATGTATTGAGTAAAGTAGATTATTTGGCCCTTTGGAACTAAGAAATTCTTCTTTATTTCCCTTTTTCCCAATATAAAAAAAACAACTCTGGTTCTTGGTGCTACTATCCATATTTAAAACCCAGTTGAAATAACGAACTCTCAAAATTTGTGTATGTAGAAAAATGATTTTTGGTTTATAAGCTGAGCAAATTCTGTATAAGCCACTGTGTAGATTTACAATGGGCAATTCAATTCTATTCAATTCAATTTACATAGTGCCTAATGTGGCTTTTTTTTTTATTGGATCTATGATTTCATCAGTGTAGGGAGCTTCTGGTGAGGCACTTCTCCATTAATGAGACAGCTAAATTGCATAGTGGATAGAGTATATGACTTGGGGTGAGGATTACCTTAGATGCTTACTAGCTGTGTAACCCCGGGCAAGTCATTTAATCTCTCTGTGCCTCAATTTCCTCATCTGTAAAAAGTGATGATAATAACATCTACATCCCAGGGTTGTTGTGAGGATCACATGAGTTAACATACATACATAAAGTGCTCTGTAAACCTAAATATGCTTTATAAATATTTGTCATTGTTTAATCATGTCTGACTTTTTGTGACCCCACTTGGGAGTTTCTTGGCAAAGATGCCAGAGTAGTTTGTCATTTCTTTCTCCAACTCATTTTATGGATGAGGAAACTGAGGCAAACAGGGTTAAGTGACTTGCCTGGGGTCACACAGGTAGTAAGTGTCTGAGGCTGGATTTGTATTCAGGTCTCCCTGACTCCAGGCCAGGTGCTCTATGCACTGTGCCACCTAGCAGCCCATATAAATATTAGCTCTTATTATTATTATTATTGCAATTCCACACCTTGTCTACAGGTTTTTGTCTTAGAAAGTTGCCTTGAGTTGCTGAGAGGCTGTGACTTGCTCTAGATCACACAGCCTGTATACATCAGAAGGAGGAATCTACCCAGCTATTCCTAACCCAGAGGCCAGTTCTCTTATCCACTGTGTAATGCTACCTAACATGTTTGCTCCAAGAACTTGGGGGGGGCCCTCTGTGGAAGCTTTAGAGGAGGATATGGACAAGACTTACACAGGAGTGGCAGGCATATATAAGCTGTGACTTGCATCATTTGAGGGATGCAACATCCATTGCATCATAGTCCTACTAAATATTATGGGCAGTGTCCTTGATGCTTCTCTTGGCTTGGGCTTCATGAAATCCAGAAGAGTGATAATGCCTCCACACTTTCCCATTGGTTTTCACCAAACAGGGTTCGCTTTATTTGAAAGTCACAAAATGTCTGCAAATCTCCAGAATGCTGATATTGACATTCTTCCATTCTAGGTCTGTGGGATTGGAAACTACTTGAGAAGGAAGTTGAGAGAGGATTTGTGGCCAAAGCAATAAAGAAAGTGAGGAAGGGAACTGGTAGGGACAGTGATGAGCATGTGAAGCTTGCAAGAGCCAGTGATGCTGCAGCTCTGTCCTTATCACTGAATGGTCCTTCACAGCTGTAATGAACTAGGGAGCCTGTCACCAGGTGTATGGAACCATTCTAAAGTGATCAAGAGAGCACAGTGACAGTGATAGACAGAGAGACTCATTTTGGACTGTTTACTTTGCACATCACCATTTCCAGAGATGTGAGTCACATGTTTGTATTGGAAAGAAAGGAGAAACCAGTTAGCTCTATTAAAAGATGAAAAGTAAACCAAAACCTAGCCAAAAAACCAGGAACATAGATTATATCATAGAGATTCATTGATGCTTCTGTTTTTTTCTTTTTAAAAACTAAACATTATATATATTTTTTGGTTTTTTTGTTTCGTTTTTGGCTAGGCAATGGGGTTAAGTGACCTGCCCAGGGTCACACAGCTAGTAAGTGTTATGTGTATGAGGTCGGATTTGAACCCAGGTCCTCCTGAATCCAGGGCCGGTGCTCTATCCACTGCGCCACCTAGCTGCCACAATTATATTTTTCAATAAACAAAAATCTGCCTTCTCTGCCTCTCATCCCACCCACATTGAAAAAGAAAGAAAAACAAAATCTTTTTTTTAGCAAATATAAATGAGCAAAACAAATTCCCATGCCAGCTATTTCCAAAAATATGTTGCTCAATTTTTGCTTTGACTCCATCACTTCTCTGTCAGGAAGTGGGTGACATTTTTCACAGTAAATCTTCTGGAATTGTAATTGGCCATTGTGATCATCAGAATTTCAAAGTCTTTCAAAGTTGTTTGTCTTTAAAATGTTATTGTCTTGTATGAATTGTTCTCTGGATATTGCTTATTTCACTCTGCATTAATTGACTAAAGTTTTCCCAGGCTTCTCTGAAACCGTCCCCTTCATCATTTCTCATAATAAAATTCGGTCATGTTTCTATGTCCCCTCAAAAGTACATCCTCCGCTCCCTTTTCAGCTCTGTTTTATATGTGGTCTTCTCTCATTAGAATGCGAATTCGTTGAGGGCAGCAGCTGCCTTTATTTTTGCTTCAATTTGTAACTCCAGAGTTTAGCACAGTGCCTAACACAATCTAAGCATTTTAAATAGGCTTATTACCTACCTATCTACCTCCCTATTATGAGAAGTGGCCTATTGCTAGACTCTAGCTGACACAAGTGACTCTCTATTTGACCACTGATTGACCTGCTATATAATACCCAGCAGCTGGCTTGGTCATCTGCATTTAGGGTTAGGAGGGCAAGATTAGCAAACTTTACTAATCATAGTGTCCTTTTGGTTGATGATGACCGGTAGAAATCAAAGGACAAACTACTCATTGATTGACTGTCCCTAAGGTTTTCCTGCTACTCAGTTCCCTTTGAGTTTTCCCAGCAACAACAATCAGATATATGAGGGTAGAGATCCAGGATATCTGGGCTCTCAATTGGAGTACAAGCCCAAAGCTACTTTCGTCATTGTATGTTTAAGGGACTGTTGGGCAATGGAGTCACACACAAGCTTACATTCCTGCGAGTAATAAACTGCTGGACTTGTGAGTACTTACGTTCCTGTTCTATGTGGCCTCACTCACGATACTTTCACACCTGCCTAAAAATACCTTGTTTATCAATTCACTAATTGATAGACACCCTCTCAGTTTCCATTTCTTTACCACTATGAAAAGAGCTACTATAAATAACTTTGTATGTGGGTTCTTTTCCTCTTCCTTTAATCTCTTTGGAGGTGTAGACTTAGTAGTGGTATCCATGGATCAAAGGCTACACAGTTTAATAACCTCTTGAGCACAGATAAAAATTGCTTTCTAGAATGGTTGGACCATTTTCATGTGCTTGTTTTCCCACAGCACCTCCAGCATCTGTCATTTTCCTTCATGTTTATTTTTAAGTCATACATCATCTTTTCCTGTTTGAACATATCCTATATTGGTATCAATTTGTCTTCTTCCACTGGGGGCAAGAACATTTTCCATCTTAGTTTGAAAGCCAAAACAAATAAGGCAATTACTAACTCAAATCATATAAACTTTTCACTTTTTCCAGGCCAGTTTAGTACCCAGATTCTCAGTTTTAGGTCAGACTTTTATTTGACACAG